CAACGACTGAACAGTAAAAACAGTTTTGCGGGTGCTGCTTACGTATTGCTTAGTTCTTGGTTTCGTTTTCTTGCTAAGGGACGTAAAAAAAAAATGATAGTTTGACTGGTTAGTACAAATCAAGCCGACTGAACAATAAAACTTGATGGGTTGTTTGTTCATTAAGACTTTGTTATTGTATGCAATTTGTTTTAGTATATTGTATGTTTTTGTGTTTAAATTTGACAAAAGTAAACAAAGTAATTGATAATTATTGCTAATAGAAATTGTTAATTAATTTAAAATTTATAAAATTATAAATTACTATACTTATAAATTTAGATATTTTCTTTAACTAAAAATTTATTTAAATTTAGGCATTTTGATGATTTTTAGTGAGATTTTGTTATTGTATGTATTTATGTATGTATATTAGGATGGGTCGAAAATAGGCTTTTTGCTCGGATCAACTTCTAATAGTGAAATTATGTTGTATTTTAACGTCAAATGGAAGACTGTAAATATTATTCAATTATTTTGAGGGTAAGAGCCCGCGCATCGCCGCCAAAGTTTGTAAATGCGTTTATATGGGAAAAATGGCACTTTTTGGAGTTTTTCGCATAATGATGCTTTAAGTATTAATTATTGCACCATTTTATAGCAAAATCGTAATGTCTACAAAATTGTCTTTCCAAAAAGATGGAAAAACTCAAAATTGGTTAAAAAAGTTTTGAGTTATTAAAATTTCCCCCGAGAATTTTGTGATTCTGAAGACATATAAAAGTAAATATAAGAAAATTTTTGTTAGTTTTGAAAAATTTTACAAAAAAATATTATGTTTATCTTTATAAGGTTCATAAATGTGCTAGTACGAATTTTTGTTCAAATTGGATAACGCTTACTCGGTTTAGTCTGTGGTCAAAAAAAAAGGGCCATTATTTTAACAGCATCTCCAAAACTCCATTTTCAAACTTTAAAAAATTTTGTTAAATGGATTATTAAAAATTAAAGTTTTCTATGCTGGATATTATAAAGGATATATATAAGAATTAAACACAGAAAGAATGAGCTTAATACCTCTCATAGTTTTACCGTACCTGCGATGTGAATTGGAAGGATTTCGGGAAAAAGGCAATTTTTGCCAATAATTAAGTAAAAATTATATTATTACCAATTGTTGCTTAATTTTGATCAAGTAAATTGCGATTATTATTTCCGAGTCCATGGAAAGTTAGTTCTAATCAAATTTTCGAAACTAAAAATCATTAACCCTCTAAACACCGGGGTCAAAATAAATGCATTTACAAACTTTGGCGGCAATGTGCGGGCTCTTACCCTCAAAATAATTGAATAATATTTTACAGTCTTCCACTTGACGTTAAAATACAACATAATTTCACTATTAGAAGTTGATCCGAGCGAAAAGCCTATTTTCGACCCACCCTAATATACACACATACATACAATAACAAAATCTCACTAAAAAATCATCAAAATAAATTTTTATTTAAAGAAAATATCTAAATTTATAAGTATAGTAATTTATAATTTTATATATTTTAAATTAATTAACAATTTCTATTAGCAATAATTATCAATTACTTTATTTACTTTTGTCAAATTTAAACACAAAAACATACAATATACTAAAACAAATTGCATACAATAACAAAGTCTTACTGAACAAACAACCCATCAAGTTTTATTGTTCATTCGGCTTGATTTGTACTAACCAGTCAAACTATCAGTTTTTTTTACGTCCCTTAGTAAGAAAACGAAACCAAGAACTAAGCAATACGTAAGCAGCACACGCAAATCTGTTTTTACTGTTCAGTCGTTGTGTTCAGTTCGGCTGAGTTGAAAAACTTAACATGGCCGCTGCTTGTATGTGTGGCTGCTGAAGAAAAACAAAACCACTTGCAAGTTATTGCAGCAGTGCGTTGACACAGTTGACTGACTTCAGTTAGCTTGTAAGGGAAAAATAAATACTTGAACTTTCTTCAGTTCAGTCGACATTTAAAAAAGTAAAACTAAAAACTAAATATTAAACCCTGACTGAAAACAGCGTGTAAGAAGTTAACTTTTCGACTTCAAAAATTATTTTTAAGCTTCTATCATCTTAAAATGAGATCAAATTTAACTGATCATAAACTTTTCGTAATCTATACAATACAGTAAAGCTTGATCCATATTGCAAAACTAATTAAATTTAAGGGCTAAAGAGATATAATTTAAATAAAGTAGTGGACAAAAGTTAAACTAAAATAATTTTTCAATTTTATATATAACTTAGTACTACCAATAAGTTTTATAATACCCGTAATGTCTACTATACGAAAAACTCAACTTCAGCCAAATCGGTCCTTATTCGCAGATTTGTGAAGCTTTAATATTTTTTATAATCGAAGTACTCTAATTTAACACCATGTACCTCACCTTGTATTTTAACAGGGCGGTAACAAAGTAAATTTTCAGTAAGGCTAAATCGTTCATAATAATTTTCTTGTACATTTTATTTAAATTGGTCCTGCAGTTTAAGAGATACATAGCATTTTCCATATAAATTGAAATTGATTCAACTTTGCATTTTTTTCTGTTTGTTTAATTTTTCATACGATTTTGTATAAAAAAAAACTTGCTTTAAATTAAGTTTTGGTTAATAACTCCCGAACTACACGAGTCTCCATCAAACAATTTTCACTAAAATATAGAAGAGGGTTTAGGTATCCTCATACCATATGCTTTTATAATTTTTAATACGGGGCTGTCTGATATATTTCACATTGAACAATACACTATAAAAATTGACCCTTAACCTTTTGAAAGTAAAATATTTTATTTGGACGATTTTAAAGACAATCAGTCTTATGCAAAAAAACTTACAACATGCTTACTTACCGTTGTTAAGCTAAATTCGATAAAAGTATATCCAAAAACGATAATTAGCTTAAAATACCTGTAGTAAACCATTGTTAAATATACGAAAGTTAATAATGGTTCAACCGTACTTTAAACCTATATTAAAGTCAAATGTCATTATTTTATTACAATTTATAACTGTTGACGTTTTGTGAAAAATATTGTTGTGTTAATTTTTTAAATAAATTATAAAAAAATAAATAAATAAAAAACAATATGGATACACTTTTCCTTTTATTTTCAGGCATTGTCTCCATATTTCTTCTTTTCTTTTTGCCAAAAATATTAATTTTGTTTATAAAATAGTTTAGTGATGTGTAAAATATCAATGCAAATTTAAAGAATACGTTACTCGATTACTTTCTTTAATCAAAATATAATATTGCAATTACATTAGTTGTTTTATTTGATTTATACGTTGTTTTTATTAAATAAACAAATACAACCCCATTTTTATGTTATTAAAAACAATTATTTTATATAAAAGCATAAAAAAACAAGTAAGAAATTATAGTCGGGCGAGGCCGACCATATAATACCCTACACCTGTTACAAAAATGAAATGTGATTTTGTTTTCATAATAACGCACTTAAGTTGAATTGCACCTTGCCTTGAATTATACTTAAGCCATTTATTGTTGAATAAAATTATGGACATTTAAGTCAAATTTTGAAGGGGGATTTGTATAGGGGCTATGGTCAAATGAGACCCTATGATTATAAAATTCATGAGAGTCATCAAGGCTAGTACAGAACTTGGTTTTGCAGCTTTTTGTCGAGATGGGAGTATATTAAACATAATTATAAATTTAAAATCCCTATTTGTCGGGTTCAGTTGTATGGGGTCTAGGTGAAATAATGGACCGATGTTAACCATTTGCAGTAGGCTTTGTCTCCGGTACCATAGAAGATCATCTGCCAAATTTCATTGAATTATCTTCAAAATTGCGACCTGTAGTTTGATTAAAAGGTTTACAAGCCCTATTCGGGGGTTCAGTTGTATGGGGGCTAGGTGAGAAAATGGACCGATATTAACCATTTTCAGAGGGCTTCGTCTCCGGTACCATAGAAGATCATCTGCCAAATTTCATTGAATTATCTTCAAAATTGCGACCTGTAGTTTGATGACAAGGTTTACAAGCCCTATTCGGGGGTTCAGTTGTATGGGGGCTAGGTGAAATAATGGACCGATATTAACCATTTTCAATAGGCTTCGTCCCTGGAACAATAGAAGATCATGTGCCAAATTTCATTGGATTATCTTCAAAATTGCGACCTGTAGTTTGATTACAAGGTTTACATGGACGGACAGACGGACGGACGGACGGACATAGCTAAATCGACTCAGAAAATGATTCTAAGCCGATTGGTATACTTTAAGGTGGGTATAGGACCAATATTATTGTGCGTTACAAACATCAGCACAAATCCAATATACCCTCCCCCACTAAAGTGGTGTAGGGTATAATAATATTAGACACGAATACCAAATGAACTAATAATCGTTCATATACAACATTATGAAAATATTGACAGAATAAAATATTGGTATAGCCAGCATCAAATCTTAAAAAAAAATTTAAATGTATTTTAGTTACAATACTGTTTTTGCATATACTTTTTTAATAATGGATTATTAAGCTAAAAGTCGTTGTTAACTAATGTATACTTTAAGGTCATAATAAGGTTTTTTTTTGCATAAGACTGTAGTATATCTTTGGCTTTATAACGAAATCAAAAATTATCCTGCACTTAAAGGAATTTCAAAGTTATGGGCAATTATATGTATATACTTTTAAAAAATTTGTACATATTTTAAAATTTTCAAAGCGCGATATTTTTGGTCTGGAACGGGATTCCGAAAATTACTGTTTTCTGTCCGTTTTGATATAGATTCTCCCTTTGGTGCATTTTGAAATTATTTAGTTGATAGCGCTAAGTATGTGGGTATATGACGTTACAATCAACACATACAAATTAAAAATTAACAAATTTAATTTGTTTCAATGGGAACATACATGATTTTTTGCATTTTTTTTACATCAACTCGAAAATTATAAAATAATCTTTATGTAATCATAAATAACCATAATAATATTTACCTGATCGATGGCGACAAATTTGGCATATACTTCCACAGGACTTTGTTGATATCTTGCCCTGCACATTATTTTATCCAGTAAAACATTGTTATAAATGCCAGTATTGTGTTGACCATTAATGAACGATCTTTTTTTTCGACGGGATTTTTTATGCCTAAAAAGAAAAAATTATATTAATTTTAGGTATTTTTTGTAAATTAAATATATTTTTAAGAATATAGTAAATTTGTTGTAATCTATTGGTGGTAATTTTAGATTTCCTAAGATAACCAAAACCAAAGAGTTTTAGTGCATAATTACGTAAATTTTCGATTTTACTATAGACTGGAAACAAAAAAATACATTTAAAATTTTTATTATTAAATCCAATGTACAAAGTACACAGATCTACAAAGAAGTTTTTTTGCTCCTTTAAATTCGAGTTCGTGATTATGATATCTTAAATGCTCTTGAATCAAGTGCATATTATTTTTAGCACGTACGTAGATTTTTTACGCAATATCCATTTTAAATAAATATTATGACATCAATGAAATTGTTTGGGATAATGCCAAAAATGTTTATATTTCAGAAACTCGACGTGACGGAAAAAGATGCAAAGCTGATGCACTACAGACTCTAATTTTCCAGACTTATCTCATTTCTGAGAATTGATTTCAAAAAATTTCCATTCCGGGATTTCCGGGGAAATCGAAATTATAACGACGGATCTGAAAACATTTCATGCGGAATGTCTGACAGCCCTGTTTGAATTGTTATCAGCGTTGCCACTCACAATTTATTTTTCTTACCAAAGTTCCGACAAAAAACTACCAAAACGTTCCAAAAACTATCAAATATTTCCGTAGGGACAATTGCTTCTGTTTATAGTTCCATTAATATAGTTCCAAATAATATTGCTAGTACCTTGGCAAAAGCTGGAATTACTATGGCTATAATTGATAGAAACCAGTCCTGTAGTATTTCCCTACTGACCATTAAAAACCATATATCCGATATTCAGCTCAAGACGGATAGTCTCATGAGTACATAGGTGCAGTACAGGTGCTCTATGTAGTCTAGTATGGATCCTCATTACACATACTATCTAAATATTAGGTTTCATCAAATTGTCAATTTGGAAACCATTGTAAATTTGGATGAGTATTATTTTATATTTATAAGACATAAGAAGCTTATGCTCAGAAGTAGGTTTTTATTCTACTATTCAGTACCTGGGATGGAAAGATTTTTATTCTAAGTACTTTGAATTAATTTGTTTTTCACAAAATCCTTATTGGAAAGTAAACACCTACTAAGTATATTCATATTGCAATATGAAATAGAAAATGTTATTTTTGTCGGTAAATTATTAAGATTTTTATTTTTTTATATTTTTAAGGATTTAGAAATCCCGAAATCGGGATTTATTTAAAAATCCCGAATCCCGGGATTTCTAAAAATCAGTCCCGATTTTGATACCCATATCGTTATAATGTAGTAAGTAAGGTGAGAACGTTTCGACAACAAACACAATATTTTTTTGTTGTCTAGTGTTGGGTTTTGTCAAAACGAAATTTCTAAAATTGAGAAATAATAAACATTGAAAAGAAATAGTTTTTATGCATTTCACAATATTACCTATAAAACCGTCGTTACATTTAGCTTGTATCTGCAACAGGACAATGTTTTAATGTTTCTTAATCTTAATAATTCGACAGGCAAAATTCCAATACACCAACAGAGTAAAATAGAAGACCTGGTCAACAATAAGATAGTGGACCATGCAATCGCTTCTAAGGGCAAACAACCAATAGAGAGCGAGAGCTGCGAGTTCAGCATGGGCGTGATGTTGATGAGGGTGGCATCTCACCAATGTGTTAGCACCCTAAAGAACTTGGTGGAAAGTATCCCTCCTCCCTGGGAGAACGCTAGGCTGGGACTGGCAAAGAAGAGCGAGCTTCCGGTGCTCTTAAAGTCCACTGTCTACATAAAAGGATGGGGCAGTAAACTGGCTAATGAACGTATACTGGAAATGCTTGGAGGTCAAAATGCTGAGCTGGCCGTGGAAAAATGGGATGTCTTTTAAAGGAAAGAAGAACCTGAGGGAACTTTATTTGTAATAGGTATCGACCAGAAATCCATGGCTAGTCTAGCCAAGAATAAAGGTAGGGCTTACTTCGCCTCTAAAGCTGTCATATTAAAAATTGGGAAGGTGCCGATTGGAAGGGCTGTTACAACAAGCCTCGAAAAGGACACTAAAAAACCTAAGACCACAACATCCACTACTGATAACGTTGAGGAGTCAAATCCTAAAATCGAGGAATTTACCATTAACTCGCCAGAAGAAAGTGTAGTTCCCCTTCCAAAATTGGGAAGGCGCCGATTGAAAGGGCTGTCAAAGCCGGCCCCGACAAGGACACTAAAACACCTAAGACTGTACCCAAAACATCATTAGCAACTACTGGCAATGTTGAGGAGTCAAATCCTAAAAGCGAGGTGGAAATCACTCACCCGCCAGAAGACAGAACAGCAGTGCTCTCCAGAATTGGGAATGTGTCTATTAAAAATACTGCTATTCATATGCCTGATAAGGACACCGCAGTGCCATCAACAGTACCCACTGCATTAATAGCCACTTCAGGCTATCCGGAGGAGTCAAATCCAAAGAGCGAGGAGGTGACCACCAACTCGCTGGAAGACAGTTTAATGGATGACCATGATTGAGGTTATCCAAATAAACCTCCATCGGAGCGAGACAGCTACCAACGCTCTGATGGCTAAAATTAACACAGGTAAAATACATATAGCTTTAATCCAGGAACCTTGGACGATTCGCAACAAGGTTTCTGGATTAAATCACGTAAATTTCCAACTTTTCTACGCTGATACAGGATCTCGCCCGAGAACATGTATCTTATGTCACAAGAACTTATGTTTTCTCCTCTCAACAGGATTATCAACATCGGATGCAACGGTGCTGAAGCAAGGTCGTGGCAACATATTCCTTGCATCTGTTTACCTGCCTTTCGATTCTCCGACACTACCACCAACGTCGGATCTGATGAAACTGGTTGAAGAGGCACAAAGAAAAAATAAGAAAATTGTAATAGGTTGTGATGCCAACTCGCACCATGTAGCTTGGGGTAGTACAAACACCAATCGCAGGGGACAAGCCCTCATGGATTTCCTTAATACTAAAGACTTGATAACATTGAACTTAGGTAATAAAGCTACCTTCGTCAATAGAATCAGAGAAGAAGTATTAGATATAACTATATGTTCAGAAGAGCTTATAAACGAAATTCAGGATTGGAGAGTTTCGGACGAGCACTCCTTTTCTGATCATCGGTACATAAGATTCAAAATACTAATAAGTCTAAAACTAATTGGACAATGTTCGAGACCTTACTAAAGAACCGTTTAGGTCAGGACACTTTTCAATGTCGAAATAAAGAGGATATAGATGCCAAAGTGGAAACGTTCACAAGTGCCCTGGTTGAATCGTTCGAGGACAGCTGCCCTCTGCGAGAGCGGAGATATGCCCAGGAAAAACCCTGGATAACTGGGGAGATCCGGAACCTTGGGAAGACTCTTCGCAAACTATTTAACCGGGCACGGCGTAAAAAGACCGCAGTATACTGGGATGAGTATCGTAATAAACTCGGTGAATATAAGAAAATCGTTCGACAAGCCAAACGAGACTCCTGGAAACTTTTCTGTGAACAGGTAGATAGCGTAAATGACGTATCGAAGATAAAAAAATTCCTATCCAAAACTCATGTCCAACCGGAATCTATGATCGATGACACGGGCAGGAGGCTTGTGGATATGGAGGAGACAATGAAACTCCTAATGGATTCTCATTTCCCACCCGGTATATCGAATAACATAGATGAACCGATATTGGAGGAAGGGGAGGGTAACACGGAAATAGTTATTACAACTGACATGGTTAAAGGGGCAATCAAGAGCTTTGCTCCCTATAAAGCTGCAGGGCCGGATGGAATTTTTCCGGCACTTTTGCAGATGGAGGCGGGACTGGTTTCCGTACATCTGTCACAGATATTCACTGCATGCTTAAAATTGGCATATACCCCAGTTAAATGGCAGGATGCAAGGGTAATATTTATACCCAAACCAGGGAAACCTAGCTATGCGACACCTAAGTCCTATCGACCGATAAGTCTTACGTCCTTCCTACTTAAAACCTTGAAACGGATAGTCGATAGCATGGTTAAAAGCAGCATACCATACAATGACCTTAAATATAAGCAGCATGCTTATGTAAAGGGACGATCGGTGGAAACCGCTTTAAATGAAGTTGTCCACTACATAGGTGAATCTTTCGATAGCAAACTGTATACACTGGCAGTATGCATTGACATCGAAGGCGCTTTCAATAACGTGCACACTGATACCCTTATCCAATCCCTAGACCAGTTTTATGTTGACCGGGTGCTCCGTAACTGGATCAACTACATGCTAAGGAACAGATGGATAAGCTGCGAGATGTACGATATAACTATCAGGAAAAAGGTATTTCGCGGTATACCACAGGGTGGCATTTTGTCACCTTTACTCTGGATTACGACGATTAATAGCCTCCTAAGGACCCTAACCGAGAAAGGACTTAGACCTGTCTGCTATGCAGACGATGTCGTAATACTTTTAAAGGGAAAGCATCCAAATTACTTCTGTACAAGAGCTGAGAAGGCTCTGAATACGGCCTTGAACTGGGCTCAACCGAGAGGCCTCAATGTTAACCCGGCGAAGACGGAAATCTGTCTTTTCACAAGAAAGACAAAAATTTCTACATATACTGAACCTTGTTTCCTGGGCAAGAAGATACCGGTGACAGACAAAGTTAAGTACTTAGGTGTAATACTCGTTAAGTACTTAGGTGTAATACTTGAAATTAAAATGGAGACACCACATAGAGGATAAGATCAACAAGGCACATCGGTGCTGGGCGATATGTAGGAGAACCATAGGCATGAAATGGGGTCTTAGGCCTACTATGACAAATTGGCTTTATAAAAGTGTAATTAAACCAATTCTAGCTTATGCTTCAATAATCTGGTGGACTGCTTTGGACAAAAAGTGTAATATCAAACTACTACAGGGAGTTCAGCGTACATGCTGCTTGGGTATAAGTGGTGCCATGTGTACTAC